CCCCCTCTTCAGTGCATCCCCCCAATCCACATGGCTATTATTTATATTTTTAAGGAACGTGTATGCAGGCTGTCCAGAGTCCTAATTGAGGTGGCCATTAATCCACATGGGTTCTGTGATCCTGAGAAACAAATTTCCTGGGGTTGGGCAGAACTAATGGGGAATAAATTCTGCAAAGGTCCATATTTCTGCGACAGATCACTGGATCAAAGTCAGTAATCAAAACCTATTGCTCCCCCCAAAAAAACATGTTAAGATCAGTGTTCCCTCTAAGCTGAGTTAGTGTGAGCTAGCACACAGTTTTTTAGCCTCCGGCTCACACATTTTTGCCTTAGCTCAGGGAGGATGGCTCCAGAGCAAACTAATTTATGCAGTAGCCGAATCGCTCGCTCACAGCTTTAATGCCAGCAGCTCACAACGTACAATTTTTGCTCACAGGACTCCACACCTTACAGGGAGCATTGGTTAAGATCCATTCAGGAAAATGTTAGCCACCATGAGTTAATGGGAAATAATTAAGCACTGAGAACAGAAACACAGACACACTGTGAAACTGAAGAGAGAAGTACAACATTTATTGCGGAAAGAAGTGAGGCCTTTACTAAATAGGATTCACTTACTTTACTTTTGAGTAAATATAATAGTAGAACCTTCCCTGTGGCACAAGAAGTGCTGGATTTTTATGAGAAATTTGCTGTGCAGGAATCTATGCTTTCATTTCACCTGCAGCTAGATGTGAAAAAGGGATCTTTCAGTGGAGCATACACATTCACTCATAAATTGTATATTAAATGTTGAGGGGTTATCTTTTTTCAGCATATGCTGCATCACTGGGACTCTTCATGTTGACATGTTCTGAGCAAACTGTTGCTCAAAAGTCAGAACTGGGAGGCAGAGGAAAGATTTTAGTGTAAGAATAATGTCCTGGAATCTTGGGGCTTAAAATGGATATGTGGCTATAGGATGAAATTTTTTTAAAAGCACAGGGAATCAGAGTTAAACAGGGTCGCTGAAGCCAGATGATCCTGACCTGTTTGTGTGTCTCATTGTGTTCCGCATTGAACTGAATTCTATGGATCCCTTCCCTTGTTTCAGTGCACAGAGAACCAGTCTCCTGTCCCTTAACTATTTGTTAAGTTCCCCTGCCCACTTTACACAATAAGCCTGTAAGATTATGGTTAGGATGAGCAAATAAAACTTTGTACTTCAGTTCAAGCATGATATAAATACATGGTTCATTTTAACTTTAGTTTTGTTTGTAAAATTTGAGTTTCTCTTGTTGAAGCTCACTCAAACCCTAGTTTGACTTGAGAAATGCTGGTTTTATCCACCTTTATTTTTGCAAGGTATCTCAGTAGCCAGGAAGTACATGAGGACAGAACTGGGGAACAAGCCAGAATTAGGCCAGGATTTCAGCACTGATGTTCATAGGGAGTGAATAAACCAACTGTTTCAGATCCTGGTTTGACAGACCCCAACTCACCATAACTATTGGAGTTGCTCACACTGGTAACCATCATACTAAACACACTTTAATGTTTTCATATTAAGTCTGAACTGAGCAGATATATGTCTTTCCCTGCAAAGTTCAGACAGACCTTCAACAATTGAAGGGGTGCATGAAATTTAATGTCCCATCTCCTACAGACAGCGGAAGAGCAGCATGAACTTCACCTTCACATAGCTGCCTGCCAGGAACAGCTGTGCATCCTCAAAAGTGAGGTAGGCAGAATACAGACCCAACACCTTGTGCCATTGCTCCACGGCAGTGCCCGCCTCCTTCGCTTGCCTGTTCTATGTGGGGAACTCGTCCTGGAAGCCACCAGACTTCGACATGCTGAATCAATTCAGGAGGAAGCTATAGGCCAGATGATGGGGCAATTAACTCATCTGGAGCTGCTGAGGCTCTTGTTGATGGTGGAAAAGAAGAATCTGCACCTGATAGGGACAACGCTAGAGGAGATGGTGACGATCCTGAAGGAATCCCAGGCTAAATTACAGGAAAGGCAATCCTGCTTTGAGGATTCACAGTTCTCCATTAAGCAGTGCCCACGAACTCTGATCGACCCCAGTGACCTCACCACCTTACGGTAAATATTGGAGGGCTGGGGAAAGGGGAGGGGAACTGAAGTGCGGCAGTCATTGGAAACAAGGAACAATTTCCGTAGGAGGAAATACGAGGAAAATAAAATGGTTAACCACTCTAATAAAGCTTATCCTAGGGAAGGGAACTACTTTTCCTCTCATGCTCTTTCTGCAGCAGAACAGAACCTGACAGGGCAAAAGAGCCATTATGTATGCTGTGAATTTAAGTTTTTAGACACAGCCAATTTACTAGCTTTAACTATTTTTAGCTCAGGTGAACATCAAGTCCTACTTGGATTTCTAGCTTGGAAAAAACCTTTTAATGAACCGTACTCTCTCTCTGTGTGACAGGGACACAAGAAACGTGACAGCAGCTAGTGCCTGCTGCAGCCACTCTCCGCCATAAGTCATGGATATTTTGAATAACTGCCTAGCTGCCCTCTTTCATAAATACAAGGACAGAAACACGGCACAGTTGCAGTCTCTCAATCTGATTGCTGGATGTGTTTCACCATTTTCCTTCCCCCCTCAGGCTGTGGGAGATGCTGGACAAGCATGGTCAAGAGAAGCAGCTCTTCCATGCTTATGAAACTTTGGCAGGCCGGGGCTCACGGCTGTGCCAGGAACTGAGAATGCTCCATGTACAGCTGGCCACACCTCTCTCTCAGCTTCCCAAATTAGAGTCTGATAATAAAGTACTGCACTGCGTGATGTATGGTGATTCCAACCAGCTAATGCTTCATGCTCAGGTATGTAATGGCTTTAGCCTATCCTATGTTTATACGCCTTTCTTCTATTCTATGCTATCCTGTGCATGTATGCTTATAAAGGTAGGCTAGTCGTCATACTGCACAAGAGTCATTGGTCTGGCTGCATTATGAAAGATTGCATCCTTGGGAAAGCTGAAAAACCTGTTGAGTAGCAAATCCCACCTACTCCACATCCCCATGTGAATGTTCCCAGTCAAATGTCAGGGGAGATGTAGTTCAATAACCTGTCTTGTTTTTAGCATCTTTAGCTTTGCCTTCTGTTTTTTACAGGAAATAGTAGAACCTCTGGAGAAACTTAGCACCACACAAGCCAAACTCTACCAGCTGCTAATGGAGACTCTCAGTGACCTGAAAGCCAAGCGTAAATCCCTGCAGAGCCACTTTCAGCAGACTGAGCGCAGGCTCTATGTGCTCTTCTTCAACAACCCTGACCAGATGAAGGAGATGGTAGAACATCTTGAGAAGCAGGCCTGGCCTTCTCCCACTCATAGATCTGATCATCACTAGAAAAGCATATGAGGAGTTAAAGCCAGAATGTGCCTGCTTGCTCCATGATGTCTTCATTGAACTGCTTGAGGGAGAATCTTTCTGACAGCTGGTAAATGGGTACATTGCTAGATCACAGCATCCATGAGAAAATAACTTATAATGCAGGAACAAACTCTGAAAGCACTTTTTTGGGGGTAGATAGCCCAATTCTTTAAAAAGAGGAACTTAAACAATTGTATGATGTAGGATAAGAAATGTTGCAGAAGGATTCCACAGAGTTTGGATACCCTGTGATAAAGAGCTGAGGAGATAGGCTAGCCTGAGAAAAGCCGGGCAGTTTAAAACACTATATAGTTTATATTTCTGTTGGCTACTTGTCTGTCTAAATTCTTTCTCTTCACTTATTTTCAATTCTAGCTACTTCTGCTACTCAGATCTGTGATGAAAGGGTGTAGGGATACAATGCTGAGAATATTTTGTTGGATGTCAAGGAGGTAATATTCCTTTTTAGAAACTTTTGTCTATGTCTATGTCTTCCTGTAAACAGCTCAACTCACAATGCTTTAAAACTGCTATTAATCTATTAATAAAGATAATATAGTCACTTTAGTTTTAGGTATGGCTTAGACCATGGGAATGAGCATACAAACATGCTGAAAAACTATAATTATTGTAGCATCTTCTCTCTCATCTGTCAATTGATTTATAAAAGCTGGGGTTACAGAATTCATTTGGGAGATGGGCACAGTAACTTTTTATAGCAGGAGAATTTTTGAAGACGTTTCATATGTAATCTTACAAATCTAAATGGACAGGCAAATTTAAAGGAGATTTGGCTGTGACTCCGGTAGTCAGTCTATGTGCATGATTTTCAGTTTCTAAAATGTGTTGCTGCCAAGGAACACAGCTGAGCTAAACTGACTCACTGTTAAGTGCATGTGAAAAACAGACATCCTTGTCACAACTTAGCTGCACTATGAGTGTGGACTTCATGTAAACCCACACATTTGAACCCATCAAGACATGCCTTCTGGTGTGTTGCTGGCACCTGACAACACAGATGAGGCTACTTTCCAGTGGTATGGTTAGTTGAACCTGACACGAAGGTTTGGAAGCACGTGGATGTGTGGATCAATCCATTGCATCCCTTCATGTGCCCAGTAAAAATAGTCACATAATGATCATTTCTGGGTACTATAAAATCAGCCCAAAGTAGCTGTACCTTGTTAAATATTGCCTATGCTGAAAATACTGGTGCCCTGGTAAACCATGAAGACTGCCCAGTCAGTACTTGTTAAGTGCCATAAGCAAGAAGTAGCAGCCCAGCATCATTCTTATACAGCAAGGCATAGGCGTACAGCACTCCTCTGGTCTGCTAACGTCATTTGGTTGGATTAAGTGACTATCAAAATGCTTTTACCCGGTCGCAAGCATTTTGATGACTTAACAGTCCAGGAATGACTGCTTTGAAACCCCCTTCTAAGTGAAATGGTGTCACGGGTAAGCATTGCTATAAAGCCGTTTGCTATAAGGTTGTTAAGGCCAAACTACTTCTAAAAGAAACTGGAACGTTTGCCTTGTCTCACTGATGTTTCATCTCACAATAGACACCGATGCCTCTGTTGCAAAGTGCAGAGCTGCTCTCCCTTTCATTACCTCAGTAACATCATTTTTGTTGAGATTCCGTAAGCTGGCCAGGGCAGCATCCAGAGCAGGGAGGGCTTCTGCCAGGTCCTTCTGGGCATCGTCTGCAATTGCCTGAGCCGTCTGAGCTTTCACTTTGGCTTTCACTTCCTCTGCCTGCACGGCATTTCGGGTCTCCTCTGCCACAGCTGTGTCCACCTGTAGCCCCACAAGGAATGGTCATAATCCTGAGAGAACCTGGATAGAAGCACCCTTTCTGCATTGCCAAAATCCATGGCAGAATCTATACCTACTGATTTGTAACTGAAGCCTGCCTTGGATTCCATGGTAGAATCTATACCTACTGATTTGTAACTGAAGTTTGATTAAACTTTCCTTACTCCCAGTCTCTCTGTTTTGAACATTAGTCTACTAGCTCTGTGTGTCGCTCCCCCCCCCCCCTTAAGCTGCTGTACTGGGAAGCTTTGTACCCAGGCAAACATATAAGACTGTTTGTTGAATGCACACCTGGGAGGAAGCTGTGACAGGCAGCAGATTTCCAAGCATACATCAACAAAATTGCACAGAACAGTTCCACAGGTGTCGGGTTTTTCCTGCATAAATTTACCCCTCTTTGTAGCAGCATGAAGGGGGAGACGGGAAAAAAATATCCATTCTTTGGCTCCAGCTCAGTGTGTGTGAAGTGGCTAGATGCCATTCTTGCTTCATGCATCATTCTCTGAACAGGTTAGTTCATTAGTGTGTGTCAATAGTAGTGCCCAGGGGGTATGAGCAAGAATAGAATTAAATTCTGACTCAACAAGATTCAAGCAGATATTTAAACAACCTATGAACATCAGTCTCCTTGACTCTGAATGTGTCTTCGTTGACAGGAGGAAGAGATATGGTGTTAATAAAAGCTCAAAGTCGGGATAGTAGTGGTCACTTAACCTGAATTCAAACTTTTCTTCCCCACAGCTAGGAAAATTATAGACTTACATTGATTCCAGGTGGAGGTTTTGCTCCATGCTCCCCCACCCTGTATAGCATTTTTTCCGTCCTGATTTTTTTTTTTACTTAGATCAGGTTTGGTCACTGTGTAGCTGTGAACATTTAGATTTTTGGACCTCCTTACCCCCTCCCCCTGAGTTCTCCCATCCCTAGTAGTCCCCCCCCATACTAGTTGTCTTTTTGCCAGCTTTTTAAAAAAAGTTAGTAAGTATACTGCTACAGAGTGACAGAGAGACGGAGTGAGCTCCCATCTCTAGTTTCAGCTCCTGCCAACCTAGCAGTTCGAAAGCAAGAAATTGCAAGTAGATAAATAGGTACCACTTTGGTGGGAAGGTAACAACGTTCCGTGCGCCTTGGTGTTTAGTCATGCCAGCCACATGACCATGGAAATGTCTTTGGACAGTGCTGGCTCTTCGGCTTTGAAACGGAGATGAGCACCACAACCCTAGAGTCGGATTCGACTGGCTTTCAAGCAAGGGAACCTTTACCTTTACAGAGTGATAACTTCAGGTGTTCTTGGATGAGGCTAAGGTCCTGGACCCCTTCCAGTCTGGCTTTTGCCGCCCATGGGACAGAGACAGTGCTGGTCACCCTGGTGGATGATCTCTAGAGACATTTGGATTGAGGCGGTTAGGCACTGCTGATTCTTCTTGACCTATCGGCAGCGTTCGATATGGTTGACTATGAGGTGTTAACCCACTGCCTCGCCGATGCTAGAATACGGCGGCTTGTCTTGCAATGGCTAGCCTCCTTCCTTCAGGGTTGGGGACAGAGGGTAGCACTTGGGGGGGGGGAGTTATCCCAGCGGCACCCACTAGAATGTGGTGTTCCGCAAGGAGCGATCCTCTCCCCCATGCTGTTTAATATCTATATGTACCCCCTCACCCAGATTATCCGGAGATATGGGCTGGGTTGTCACCAGTATGCGGATGACACCCAGCTCTATCTACTGATGGACGGCTGCCCGGACATGGCCCCAGGACATCTTGATGAGGCGTTACAGGCCCTGGCTAGATGGTTACGACAGAGCCAACTGAAGTTAAATCTGTCTAAGATGGAGATCCTGTACCTGAGTAGTGGGGGACTGGGTCAGGGGATCAGGCTCCCAAACTTTGATGGGGTTCCATTGGTGCCTGGATACCTCCCTCTCTATGGAGGCCCAGGTCACCACCACTGCCAGGTCTGCCTTTTTCTATTTGAGGCAGATCAGACAGTCCCGTATCTTACTCCCCGAGACTTAGCTACAGTGACCCATGCAATTGTCACTTCCAGACTGGATTATTGTAACTCTCTCTACATGGGGCTGCCCTTGACTCTGCTCCGGAAGTTGCAGCTAGTGCAGAATACGGCAGCGAGGGTGTTGACGGCAACACCTGTGCAGGCTCATATCCACCCAGTGCTGCATGAACCGCACTGGCTGCCTATTGAATTCTAGATCCGTTTCAAGGTGCTGGTACTTACCTTTAAAGCCCTATGCGGCCAGGGGCCAGCATACCTACGAGACCGCCTTTCCCCATATGAGCCCCGGCAGGCACTGAGGTCCACAAATCAACATCTGTTAGTGGTTCCCGGCCCCAGGGACGTCCGGCTAGCCTCGACCTTGACCCTGCCTGGTGGAATGAGCTCCTGTGTGAGATCAGGGCCCTGCGGGACTTATTGCAGTTCCGCTGGGCATTTGGTTGAGGCAGCAGACGCCCCCCTCCCCCCCAGCTTCTCTGGCCCTAGCTTTCTCTGGCCAATTGTCCATCAGTGGCCTGATTCTGATAGGTCATCTGACAACCTTTATAGTTATATGGTATTTTATGATATTTTATGTGTAAATTGTTATTTTAATACTATTTTAATTGTATTATTTAACTGCTGCACACTGTCCTGAGCCCATTGTGGAGGGCAGTATATAAATCTAATAAAATACATAAATAAAAGTGTACCCTGGGGTACTTTAAAAAAATACATAAATAATAAACACTAGCTGTGTTATGACACTGTCAGAATATACTACTGATATACGACCAGGAGCATGTCCAATGAAAAGAGAATGTCCAGAACTGTACGTTATTCACAGTTTCTTTATATATTGCAGTTTTTTAGCTAGAGGAATTCTGGGTGCTGTATGCAGTTCTCCACTCCATTCCCCCCTTGTAATAACCATGTGAGGTAAGTTAGGCTAAGACAGTGTGTGACTGTCCCAAGGTCATCCAATGAGCATTATGCCAGAGTGAAGATTTGAACCTGGGTCTCCCCAGTCCTAGTCTAATATGCAAGCCACAACCCTACCTTTGTCCAAGGCAGTGTTTTGGCAGTGGAAGAAAGGCCACCCTTTCCAAGTGAGAAGGAATGATGACTTCTGGTCATTCTTATGCTATTCAAAATTGGCTGTCTCAGTCTCTCTTCATCATAAGTGAAAAAACTGCCATATAGGAGCAATGTAAGGCTAACCAAATGAAACAGCAGCCTTAACTCTAATTATCTTGTTCGGCTACTTCACTGCTTTCTAAAGCAATTTCTGAAGAGAGGGTGCATACCTCTATCTGCTCCATGGTCACCAGTGTGTCCTTGGCAGCCTCTGCCAGCAGGGGGCGTGCTAATTCTAGCTCTTCCTGCATTTTTGCTACATCTTCTGCTGTTCTCAAAAGCTAGAAGGGAGGGGAAAAAAGCAAGATTCATCCTATTATGACCATCTTCAGTAAAGAGCACAATGAACTCCTGCCACAATCTCTGCAACAGTTGTTCATTGAAACCCCTTAGCTAGAATTGGCTGTATGTTTCCAGAGAATGTGTGCCTGTTTACTTTGTAAAAATCCTCAGGTTTTTAGAAAAAATCAGAATTAGAAAAAATATCAGGGACAATTTAGGCAGAGCTAAGAATTTTTGAGAGGGAGAGTATGAAGACAGGGCTTAATGCTCCCAGCAAAATGACTGTTATGTATTTACATAACATGGGTCAGAATGTATTGCCCACACTCAAAAGTATTTCACATTTTAGAGTGAACTATTTTTTTTCTGTAGTCAAATGTTTGCTTTGTTTTTCCTTGGTATCACTGCACTTCTCCATGTGTGAACATTGTGCAAGGCATTTATTATCTGCAGCATCTCTCCAAGAGAGAAGCAATAAATGCTTGAACATTCGTTTACATTTTTAAAAAATATGCAGGGTAACAATTCATTTCTTAAAGCCCCAACTTCATATAAGTACAGTGCAATATTATTTTCATACAGAGAACAGAGAAAGCCCATGAGGCACTGAATGCAGTAGATGGAAAGGGTCTCCCCAGCTACCTTTGTCTTTGTCTTATACACATACTTGAATGTGTAAGGGAAACAATGAATATAGTTGCTGATGATATCTGCCTGGGCAGAATAATGATAACCAGTGACATCACATTTACACAAAAGTGGTGTGATTGAAATAATCCAGTTTACTTCCGCTACTGACAGAGAAGGGTTTTCCTATTTCCTATTTCAAAGGAACTGGCCATTTTATTTAATTACCACAAATGCTTATCTTTTTTGAAATATTCATAAAATGGCATATTTGTTGAGTTATGGCCATGTTTATTTTCAACTGGTACTTAAAAACAAGAGGGTTAATCAACTGGCAAATCATTAACAGGTTTAAAGGCCAAGCTCTAGCCATTGGTATTACCATAAACGTGATAATATTACAGAGAAACCAGTATGAATGTTATGTGGAAACAAAGTTTCGGAAGCTTCCCAAAGGGGAACAAGAACCTGATGACTACAGTAGCAAGATTTACATATAATATCTTCTCTTTTGTAATACAATATTGGTTGTGATCTTAGGATACTTTTAGACAATAGCTTTTACAAACAATTTCAGTGATTTTTGCATCTGAACAGTTGAATCTTGCCAGCCCAAATGTATGGGGTGGGGAGGGACAGGAAGCAATAACTGTCATGTTCAGACAGCTTCAGTAGTTCCAAGCCTCATGATTAACAGCTACTTTTCATGTGGTGTGTACCTCCTGAGTCATGTGGCTGAATTTCCCTTAGAAAAAGAAGAGATTGGATTTATACCCCACCCTTCACTACCTGAAGGAGTCTCAGAGCGGCTTATAATCTCTTTTCCCTTCCCTTCCCCACAACAGACACCCTGTGAGGTAGGTGGGGCTGAGAGAGCTCTTTCAAAAACTGCTCCTAAGAGAATAGCTCTGAAAGATCTTGTCATTTACCCAAGGTCACACCAGCAGCTGCATGTGGAGGAGTGGGGAATCAAACCCAGTTCTCCCAGAGTAGAGTCCATGTTCCGAATAACTACACCAAACTGGGTGTAGGGATCAATGTGGGTGTCTATTACTCTAAAGAATATATTGTTCAACACAAGTTATAGAAACCTTAAGCTTTGAAGAAACTCACTTTGTCTAAGCCACTCTTCATTCTGGTCTTGGCAACTTTGAGCTCTTGTTTCTTTTTCCCTATCAAGGTGGTGAAGATGCTGAGCAGCTCCAGGTAGCTCTTTGGAGTGACATAATTATGTCTTCCTAGTTCTGCCAGATACACTTTGCACTTCTGTGCTACACTCTGATGGATTTCTACACACGTCTGAATCTGTTAGGAGCAGAAAGCAGAAGCTGTTAGTTTCTTAACACTGAGGATGGTGGTAGAGCATGATCGCAAAATGTACTTTACACAAGATGTACAGACGTTAAAATATGTCCAGAAGTGATTCAGATAGTTCAGAACTGAACTGAACTGAAGAAGACTCAGAGTAGAGACAACTGTTTCAAATGCTAACAGTTCTGATGTTAATCATTTGGATTCTAATCTCAAATTCCAATAATCCAAAAACTGGATTATAATAATGAACTATATTTGGCAGCTTCATAGAATCATAGAGTCGAATGGGACTTCCGGGGTCATCTAGTCCAACCCCCTGCACAATGCAGGAAATTCACAAATACCTCCCCCCACCCCCAGTGACCCTTACTCCATGCCAGGAAAATGGCAAAAACCAAACCAACCAAAAACTCTCCCGGTTCCCTTTCTTACATACCCAGGAAAATGCCACAAGAACTAAGCAGAGATGAAACTCTTCCTGCCCTCCCTTCTGGTGATCTGCCTAAGCTCACAGAATCAGCATTGCTGTCAGATGGCTGTCTAGCCTCTGTTTAAAAACCTCTGAAGAAGGAGAGCCCACCACCTCCCAAAGAAGCCTGTTCCATCAGGAACCGTTCTGTCAGGAAGTTCTTCCTAATGTTTAGCTGAAAACTCTTTTGATTTAATTTCAATCTGTTGGTTCTGGTCCGACCTTCTGTGGCAACAGAAAACAACTCCACACCATCCTCTAGATGATAGCCCTTCAAGTACTTGAAGATGATTATCATATCACCTGTGAGCTGTCTCCTCTCCAGGCTAAACATACCCAGCTCCTTCAACCTTTCCTCATAGGACTTGGTCTCCAGACCCCTCACCATCTTCGTTGCCCTCACCTGGACACATTCCAGCTTGTCTATATCCTTCTTAAATTGTGGTGCTCAAAACGGAACACAATACTCTAGGAGAGGTCTAATCAGAGCAGAGTAAAGCGATACCATCACTTCATGTCATGTGATCTGGACACTATACTTCCGTTGATACAGTCCAAAATCTCATTTGCCTTTTTAGCTACTGCATCACACTGCTGACTCATGTTCACTGTATGGTCTACTAAGACCCCTAGATCTTTATCGCCACCTACTACTGCCAAGAAAAGTCTCCCCCATCTTATAACTATGTATTTTATTTTTCCTACCTAAATGGAGAACTTTACATTTATTCTCATTAAAATCCAATTTATTTGTTGAATTTTATTTTATTAACAAATTTTATTTATTGAAATGGCTTCCTGCCTTGTTCACATGCTGTGCAACATGATTGTACATGTACTCATGTTTGTTGTAAGAAAGTAACCTACCATTCCTTCTATAACTTCAGGGGTGGCCTCAGGGTCTGGAATATCTTGAAAGAAGGAAGAGGCCACAGACTGCAGGGCTTCTGCAGGCCACTCATTAAACCAGTCAATAGTACAGCAGTTCACCAGAGATGGGAATTGTCTGAGTCGTGCTCGGAACACTTCTCCAATAGGACTAGGAAAATCAGAAGCAGTGAAGAACAGAGAACACTACTGGAGCAACATTTGACTAAAGCAGCCTGATTACATACAGGGTGATTTCATTAGCAGCTGAAGCCACAACGAAAACATATAAAAGGCCAACTTAAAATATGCTTCAGTATTGTGTATCATACCACTGAGGATGGGGAAAATTCCCACTGTAGTAGCTAAGGCTGTGAACTAGTGAAGGCAAGCAAAAACAGGTTGCTTACCTGTAACTGATAATCTTCAAGTGGTCATCTGCGCACACATGACCTCATTTGGAGAACCTTCTAGAGCTTGCCTCAGAAACCTTTTTTGGTGGGCTCTCTTCCTGCCCTGGGGAGCAGGCACACACTGCACATGCCTGGAGTGGGGGAGAGAGCCGCCTCCCACTCAGTTCCTTCGACCACTTCAGGTAAGTCCCATCAACTCAAGGTAAGTGAACAGGAGATGCTAGCAGTGGGGAAGGCTGGGTGGGATTGTGGTACTGCACAGATGACCACTCAAAGATCATCAGTTACAGGTAAGCAACCTGTTTATCTTCGTCGTGGTCTCTGTGCAGTCCCACATATGGGTGATTAAAAGAGCTGAACCAGGTGGAGGAGGGAGCTGGCAGCTGGAAGAGACAATAAACAGGTTAGGACATAGCAGTATGATTTCAATATACAGGTCCTACCTGAAGAAGCAGAAGCATCAGGCGAAGAAAGATCGGAGCACCGCCTGGCCAAATGCAGCATCCCGTCGGGCTCGAACGTCAAGTGCATAGTGGGACACGAAGGTCGTAGATATTGGAGATGGAGGGACCATTTGTTGTCTTGTGGGACTGAGCAGCTCAGAAGATCGGTGTCTATGTTCTGAATGCCAAGGATGTGGACAGCGGACAGTATGATGGAATGATGAAGACACCAATTCCAAAGGCACACGCTGCTGTGCAGAGGCAAAGAGAAGTGGTGCCGCCCTGCTTGTTGATGTAAAAAACAGCCATGATGTTGTCGGAGGCAACACAGACAACCTTGCCTTGTATGATCGGGAGGAAGGACCTTAAGGTGAGATGTACCGCTTGAAGCTCCAGGAGGTTGATGCGGAGAGAGGACTCTCGAGGGGACCAAGTTCCCTTGGCAGATAGCGTCCCGCACTGGGCTCCCCAACCCCAAAGGGATGCAACAGTGGTTAAAGAAATTTCCAGAGTCGGATGTCGAAAAGGCATACCAGCGAGGAGATGTTGCAGAAGAGACCATCATGACAGGGAGGTGAAGAAGTGCATTGGGATCGAGAGCTTCGTGTGCCACAGACTCAATTGAGGATCAAAAAACAGAAAGGAACAGGAGTTGAAGGGGGCACATTCTGAGCCTGGCGTCCTGTACGACAAAGACATTGGATGCAAAGTAGCCCAGGGGCCTCATGATTGACTGAGTGGATTGCTGGGGACATGTGGTGAAGGTGGACACCAGCGTGATTATGTCCCAAGCCCTGGAATCTGGCAGGAAGGCAGTCTCAGTGGTGGTATCGAAGTGGGCCCCTAAGAATTGGAGAAACTGAACAGGTTGGAGTGCAGACTTCGACAGGTTGATGCAGAGACCTAAGGTGCAGAGAAAGGCCAGAGTAGAGTGGACGTTGTGGAGAAGTTGAGTCTCCGTAGGAGCCACGAGAAGCCAGTCGTCAATATAGGGGTAAAGGACAATCCTCCGATGGTGCAGCTCGGCAGCAACGATGGCCATCATTTTCGTGAAGACTCTGGGGACTGTAGAGAGGCCGAACGGAAGGCTCCAGCATTGGTAATGATCACCTCCAATAGCGAAGCGTAGGAATTTCCGATGTTGAGGGCAAATGGTAACGTGAAAATAGACATCTTGAAGATCTATCAATGCCAGCCACCCAGACTTGGGGAGGAGAGGGAGAATGGACTGTAAAATGACCATTCGAAACTTCTGGCAGCAAACAAACTCGTTGAGATCTTGAAGATCCATGATGGGTCGCAATCCACTGTCCCATTTGGGGACTAGGAAGTACTTGGAGTAGAAGCCTCCAGAACAATCTTGATGGCCCCCTTGTGGAGAAGCGCATCAACCTCTAGATGAAGTGATGGATTCAAGGGCATGACGACAAAATGAGGAAGGATCGGGGGCGAAGCAAACTCTATGGCGTACCCGACCCATATGATGGTAAGGACCCAGGATTCGGTGGTAATTTCTTCTCAAGTTGGAAAGAAGGGGAAGAGTCGGGTCCGAATGGGAGGGGTGAATGAAGGAGGCAGTGGCAGGCCCTGGAGGTGGTCAAACGGACTGCTTGGGCTGCTGGGGCTTCTTGGGGGCTTGTTGTCGTGGCCATTGAGATGGACGAGGGTCATATGATTTCTTCCTCCACTGCAAGGAAGTAGCAGGTGAAGGCTGATGCTTATTGTAGTAAGGCCAGGAACGGTATCGAGGCCTCGGTGTCGAAGTAGAAACTCCAAGGATTTGAGCTTGTTTCCTGCTGTCATCGACAGCTTTCAGAGCCTCATCCATGGTGGAATGAAAACGTCCTTTGCCATCAAAGGGTAGATCCTCAACTTTGAATTTGACATCTGTCTCCAGGGAAGAACTGTGGAGCCAGGCATGACAGCGGAGTGCGATGGAAGAAGCGAGGACTTTAGAAGAGCAGGTGATAGCATGACGAATGGAGTTGATCTGTTGCTTGGAAATAGCACAGATTTTGGACAAGGCGGCAGACAGAGTGAGGCGATGTTCCTCTGGGACAAATTCAAGAACTGGACGAATGGCAGTGGCGACATTAAAGGCATAAGCGGAGAGGTATGACAGATAGGTATTGATTCTAATGTTCATGAAAGCGATGGAGTAAGTTTTCTTGGCAATAGCATCAATCTTCCTTCCCTCACGGTTGAGAGGAGTGGACTGTCGAACAGGTTGTTTGGACTTAGAAGAGGAATGAACTATCATTGAGTTCAGCGGAGGCTGAGAAACCAAGAATTTTCACGAAGGTTCTTGAATTTTGTAAAGGCCATCATAATGTCTTGATAACGGAATGACGGAGGCAGGATGGTCCCAAGACTCCTTGAGGACCGAAAGGTGGCCCGGAAGCAATGGGAGAATTGTCAAAGGTGGCAAATCCGCTTGGACTAACTTATGGACGACATCGGTCACTGCAGGAGTTTCCATAGATCCTTGTACTTGAAGAGCTGTAGCCATTCATGTAATAAGCTCCAAATAGGCTTTCGGGCTTTCCGTGGGAGAGATGGAACCCGAACGACAGGCCTCGTCCTCGAGACGAAGGATATCAGGATCAAGATCACCAGACACAGAACGGTCAGATACCGAGTCCAGAGAAGGTGATCGAAGTGGCTGGGAGACATCAATAGGTGTTTTGTCACCCGCAGTAGGATGATACCGAGGTTCTAAAGGAGAACGCTTTGGGGCATCCGCAGACAGCGATACATCTGGAGGCCGATCAAGCCCCAGGGAATGGACCGAGGCTACCGAGTGGGAATGCCTGGAGTAGGATGAAGTCGGCTGGCCTCCGTAGCGGTCAGTTTTTCCAAACCGGTCATAACGATCTCGGCGAGGAGTAGAAGGCCTGGAGTAAGAGTGAGGGTAATATGCTCTTCAGTGCCGGACTTCTGGAGACCAGGATCTATAATCAGACACCGATCTCGATGGAGAAGGCGAGTGATGATAATGGGGTGGTCTGCGAGTATAGTGGGACCTTGACCTGGATCAAATTTGCATGAAAATGCTCGCTGTCATCCAAAGGGTGGATAGGCATATGGGAGCCTCGGGAGTGAGACTGAGATGCACGATGAGAGGAAGGCTGCTGGACAGGAGACTTGGAACCCTGACCAGGTAGAATATGCCCTGACGGTGAAGACAAGGTAGGAGGAGGAGGCTGAAGACTAGGCTTATGTGGTGGAGCTGCAGAAGAAACTACTGGAGTCAATGTCGAGAGACCGGAGATCACCACAGGATTGAGCTTCGGAGCCGAAGTTGACGTCGAGGGCTTCGATTTCGGCTTAGCCGACTGTTTGTCTTCATGCTTTTTAGATTTATGCTTTAAGGATTTTGCATTGTCGGAGTGTTTTGGTGGAACAGAAGACTGGAACGCGACTGAGGACATCGTAGGAGGCAAAGCTTCCTTGAGAAGAGACGTTCTAAGTCGGGCTGCCCTATTTCTATGGGCCTGTTGAGTAAAGTTCGCGCAATGGGGACAGGAGTCAACCTGGTGAGACTCACCCAGACAAAACAAACAAAGATCGTGGCTGTCATTGGAGGGAAGTTTAGCTGGGCAACAGCAACACGTCTTAAAGAATTTTGTGTGTCCCATACAAATACCTCCCCGGCCAAGGGGGGGGGGGACAGAAACGAAAATGAGGAAAAATAGTAAAAGATTTTTTTTGTTTTTCAGGAGGAATAAAAATAAATAAGAAGGATAAGGAGAAGAAACCAGGAGAGAAGTACTCAGCTGAGGCAATTTTGAAGAGTGACGCTAGCGAGGTGTAAACATGAAGGTGGTCGAAGAAGAACTGAGTGGGAGGCGGCTCTCTCCCCCGCTCCAGGCATGTGCAGTGCAGGCCTGCTCCCCAGGGTGGGAAGAGAGCCTGCCAAAAAGGGTTTCTGAGGCAAACTCTAGAAGGTTCGCCAATCAAGGTCGTGTGCAGGCGCCCAACCCATGTGTGGGACTGCAGAGAGACCACGATGAAGATTTCTTGGATCATCCAAATGCTGAAATTCAAAATCCACTCCTTAAAACTATATAAGCTTAGAAATGATGAGAATTTGAAAAAGAACTGATGTGGAAAGTTAATTATTTTCTTTGCTGTTACTGATTCTTTCTAAAAAAAAATTCTTATATTTATGCATTTATCTCAGAAAACAGTATGCCTAGAAATGTACTTTATAATTTTTTTTATGACACTTGGGAGTCCAGCTAAAGTCTGTGGGAAGCACCTAAGATATTGGGGGCTGTATTTGGTCCATATGTCATATATGGCAATCTATCAGGGCTACAGAAGTGACATGCATATTCCCTCAGAGTTCTTCCTGTAATGAATGGGAAATATAGCCATGACAAACGTATACAAAGCTTGCCGAGATTCAGATCTATACTGAAAACTTCATTTTGCAGCAATGGTAACAGAAAACTACTATCTACCTAGAATAATATGTGAAATTTCAATGATAAAATCAAACAAAGCAGGGTTTCTATGTTCCTAATGGCATCTGAGAATTAAAACTGATGTACAGTTCATTTTGATGTAGTGGTTAAGTGCGCGGACTCTAATCTGGGAGAACCAGGTTTGATTCCCCACTCCTCCACTTGCAGCTGTTGGATGACCTTGGGCAAGCCACAGTTCTGGCACAGCTGTTCTTGAAAAAGAGACATTTCTGTCAGAGCTTTCTCAGCCCCACCTACCTCACAAGGTGTCTGTTGTGGGGAAGGGGAGGGAAAGGAGTTTGTAAGCTGCTCTGAGACTCCTTTGGGTAGTGAAGGGCGGGGTATAAATCCAATCTCTTGTTCTTTTCTTCTTCTTGGTGACAACCTCAGGATTTTCATCACTATGTTTTTCGGGACAGAAACAATCTGCTGCCTAGAATTTGCCATTTCCTATTCCTCTTGTAATCCCAGGAGTATGACTTCTGAACTAGGAGCCCTTGCTTGATACGAGTAATGGAGGCAGCAGTGCCCCCTGACCTTCATGGTGGTGAGGGGCTCTGAGAAAAATGTGAATGAATGGCAGGAAGGTCTTGTACTACTACTAGGTACCCTCAGAACAAATATTTAGCCCTCTGCATCATGAAGTCATTCTCCTTCATCACCCATGGCAGAAAGGAAAGTTCTTTTTAGCTTGGAAGGCTTCCCTTCCCTATCAGGCTTTACTTGGCATGCCAGCTCGTACCTCATGCATAGGACTGTATGGATATTACTGCGCACCCTCCCTGTGTATGCAGCCATCAGGTTGGCCTTGGTAGGCTGAAGCCCCTGGTCCTGAACAATGGGCTTCATAGCTGTCATAATCTGGTCCTGTTCATCTGGGGCATACAGGTTGGGAATGTCCCCTGAATTCAACAGGTTGTTGATATCTTCAAGGAAGGACTCACTTTTAATCTAAACAGGAAAGTAAGAAATGGTTCAGTTAACAAAAAGACTGCTGTGGCTATTTCATTATTCCCTCCAATTGCCAACTTGATGGTTAAAAGCCAAACAGTAGACAGCAAAACATGAGCTGCTGTCACACATACTAAATAGTCCACTTTCAATCCAATTTCAATGCACTTTCTAACTGGATTTACATAAAATTCAGTTGGAAAGTGTACTGAAAGTGAATTATTTAGTGTGTGTGACAGCAGCCATAGTCCCCGAAAAATGTTTGAAATCCAATCATAAACTCTAATTGTCTTTTCAAGTATTCCATTTTTAGGGCAATAAATGAGCAGCTGCTCTTTATATTACATTTTCCCTAACCCCAGATACACTGTATATTTTGTACCTGGGTAAATGCTGTTCTTCCCTCTTTCAGCATATCTATTGCTATCGGGAAACACATGCTCATTAGATACAGGTTGCAAATGACACAACTTCTTCCTTGACCTCTCCAGTAATTGTGCCATTTTGTCGCTTATGATGTCTTGTTTTTACCTATGATTAGAAGCACTTGTAATGCTTTGCTGGTTAAACATTTCCCAGCTGTGGTGGTATCCCACCCCACCACAACAGCAATGCCAGACCATTTTGTAAACTTGTTTTCTTCCCCTTTCTCTCCTCATTCATTTAAGTACCAGTGTCTAGGATACTGAATCCAGAGGCAGGAAGCACAGGTTCAAGTCTCAGCTAACACTAGGTTGTTGGGAGGCTGCTAAAGCATTGTTCTGAGTAATTTAGAAGAAAGGCATGATGCACCCACATTAATAATAAATAATAATAAATGTAGTTCCTTCAAGTGTGTGCATACAACTGTGGCTCAGTATAATTTCTCCTGCTGCAACAAGGCTATCAGCCTTCCCGCTAAACTATTACACGTGGAATGCATTTTGAGCTATGACTGGGTCTTGTGGAACCAACATACAAAAGCTAAAACCAAGCAAAGGGCACCCCTCCACTGCTCATCTGGATAAGCTCTATAGGCAAAGGTGCCTTGCCATTCCTGTTTCTCAGCAAGTGCACAAATATAAACATTTACAAAGCTCCTAGAATTGAGGATTGCAAACTCTGGTCAATCTGTAAAATAATGTAACTTCTTAATAGCTAGAACTCTTGATCATTCCATTAAAAATGTCACCCAAATAGCAGATTTTACTGGGAAAGAAATTTATTTCACCATTTTCCAAGGTGGATGGTTAGGAAAGGAAAGCCAACAGCAGTGACCATGTCAAGACAAATCTGACTAACATTAATGTAAAGGATTAGTTAGGTAGTGCATGAAGAAAATCTGATTACCTGTGTATCTGTGAACAGAAATGTAATGGACAAAGTGTGCAGGCCAGCCTTCAACATGATCTTTTTGATATCTTCTCGCCACTCAGGCATGCCATAGTTCTTAGAAAGCTCAATCTGGAAACATTCATAATCAGCACTGAAAAGGAAAAGGTCAGAATCAGGGCATGATCTGCAATTTAAAGATGTACTATATACACAGAAAGGAATGCACGCACAGCAATGTTTTTTTCTTCTGTGACTTTGTCAATGTACTTCTGGCTGCTAATGCCACTTTTTAAACTAAACAATGGCTTTTTTCATTGGTAGCAAAAACTGTGGTGGTGAAGCCATCAAAAGAACATATTTGAACGCGTTCCAGGTATGCACATGTTTCTCCTCTGTGTACACGTCATTGGATCATGGCCAAAGGTTTGTGTCCTCATTAAATCTTTGATAAATATATCAACAGTAAAACTGAGAAAAGTTTCTAACATATGGCAACCCTATGAATTAATACCTTCCAAAATGTCCTATCACTAACAGCCTCACTCAAGTCTTTATTGAGTAAATCCATCCTATATTGGGTCGTCCTCTTTTCCTACTGCCGTCAATGTTTCCTAGCATTATTGTCTTTTCCGGTGAGTCTTGTCTTCTCATGATGCAACCAAAGTAAGATAGCCTCAGTTTAGTCAATTTAAGTTCTAGGGAGAACTCAGGCTTGCTTTGATCTAGAACCCACATTTGTCTTTTTGACCATCCATGGTATCTGTAAAACTCACCTCCAACATCACACTTCAAATGAATCAATTTTCTTCCTATCAGCTTTCCTCACTGTCCAACTTTCACACGTAAGAATTATCTTGGTCTTCAGTGATACTCCCTTACAAATAAGGATCTTGTCTCATTCCTTCATGGCTGCCTTTCCAAGTCTCAATCTCCTTCTGTGTTCCTGGTTGTAGTCTCTCTCTCGGTTGATGACTGAGCCAAGGAACAAAAACTCTAATAATTCAGTTTCTTCACTGTCAACCATAAACTTGCATAATTCCCCCTAGTCATTACTTGTGTCTTCTTGATGTTCAGCTGTAATCCTGTTCTGACAGTTTCTCCTTTACCAGTAGTCATCAGTATTTTCTGCCAGTAGTGTGGTGTCATCTGCATACCTCAAATTATTAATGTTCTACCAATTTTCACTCTACCTTCATCTAAATCTAATCCAGCTTTCCACAAGACATTTCAAATAAAGTAGGAAAGACAGGTATGAATTAGACATAATAATCTCATATTTCAGCAGAAGGAAGCAAGGAGCTCATTCACAAATGGTGTATAATACTCTGTGTGTGGTGGAAACAGGATTGCATCTATCTGCCCTCTCCTGCCTACTAGTTCTCTCTCTGAGGCTGTCTCATGTCCATGCATTGCACATAATGCTGGAATAGGGCATATGTGCAGAGTAGAATGCAAATGAAGGTTGATATGCATGATCTCTTCTTCTCCCCTTTAATTTGAAAAGATAACAATTTGGCTGCTGCATATTAGACTTTATGAACACAGACAGAGGCTTATTGCAATGAGATAATCTTGTACATGGGTAGCAGTAGACCCAGGAGGTGTGGAATTTCTCTCTTCCCACTCCATGTAAATTCTGTAGAACTAAAACCTGATGCAAATAGGCTCATTCATTCTTCTTGATAAGCAAACAGAGCCCAGAAGCTGGAAATATGACCCAGACTCACCGGGAGATGCTCACTGTGGACTGGGAGGTGGGCGAAGCAATAGAAATATGGCTTGCAGCCTCAGGCTGCCCACAGGCTGTGGGGGTGAGGCCAGGTGCATGGATTGGTCTGCTGCATAAGTCAGCATGGCTGGAGTGGGAATGGTGAGTGTTGCCTGGTGCCTTTAAAAATCCGCTCCCCAGCTGGCTCACCCTCTCATCAGGTCTTCAGCTTTTAGCTTTTTCTGATAAGGAGCACTTTGGAGGCAATCGTAGCTGCGAGCACATTCTCTGATCCAGCCCATTCCTGATACCAGCGAGCTGTAGATCAGGACTAAGGGATGACATGATAGAGGTTTACAAAATAATGCATGGGATAGAGAAGACAGATCAGGCTTTAAAGGGGCTACAACTGATCAGTCATTGTTTCTCCAAGCACCCTAACCTCTTTAACCTTTCTTCATAGGGAAAGTGTTCCAACCCTTTTATTGTTCTAGTTGTCCTTTTCTGCACCTTTTCTAATGCTATAATATCTTTCTTGAGGTGCGGTGACCAGAACTGTACACAGTATTCCAAATCAGACCGCACCATAGATTTATACAGGGGTATCATGATGCTAACTGGTTTGTTTTCAGTTCCCTTCCTAATAATCCCCCATAGCATTTGCCTTTTTTATTGCAGTTGCACACTGAATCGACATTTTCAGTGGGTTATCTACCACGACTCCAAGATCTCTCTCCAGTTCAGACCTCATCAATGTATATTTATAGTTAGGACTTTTGGCTCCAATGTGCATTACTTTGCATCGTCCCACGTTGAATCTTATTTGCCACGATGATGTCCACTTGTCCAGCCTTGGCAGATCCCTTTGGAGTGCCTCACAGTCCTCCCTGGTTTTCACCACCCTGAACAACTTAGTGTCATTTGCAAACTTAGCCACTTCACTGTTTACTCCCAACTCCAAATCATTAACGAACAAGTTAAAAGCACCAGACCTACTATCAAGCCCTGCATGCTTGGCTCCCCTGTTTTGGGGAGTCCCTTATGAGGTCTTGGGGTACAGCCAGCTCAGGGGCTGCCAGCTGGCTTTCACCCCTAGGTGGGAAGGGGACCATGCAGAGGCTGGCACCCACATGGATCTTGGGTCTTGTCATTCCTTGGTTTTATCCCCCAGCAGATGAGGCACCCAATGTCTGGATCCATCCCCATGCTGTGCAAATGCTCCTTTCGAATGTAATCAATAAAGCTGTGGCCATATATTTTATCCAAACATGATTTCTGGGGGTTTTCTTCCACCACATCGCCCGCCTATCCTTCTTAGACCCACAAATATGCCTCTGACTCATTAAGAGATGCTCGTTGCTGTCTGAGAGGTGAGCAAAGCAATGGAACCACAGCTTGCAGCCTCGTGCTACCTGCAGGGTGTGGGAGTGGATTGGTCTGCTGCATAAGCCGACATGGCTGTAGTGGGCATGGGGAGCATTGCGCAGTGCCTTTAAAAACCCACTCCCCAGCTAGCTCACCCTCTCTTCAAGTCTTTAGCTTTTCCCACCCTTCCCTCCCTGTTTTGCAGTTTTAGTGTGACAGGTTGTTTTGGTTTGTTCAACACATTTTCCTATATTGTTCTGCTGTTTTATGCTATTTCATCGTCACAACTTGGGTGGTTTTTGGCATTGGGATGGATCCTTTGTTGGCGTGCTCACCTCCCCCATTCTGGGGACTCCCTTATGGGGGTAGAGCCACTCAAGCCGCATGCCCAGCTCAGGGGCTGCCAGCTGGCTTCCACCATTAGATGGCAAGGGGACCATGCAGAGGCCTGTGCCCACATGATCTCGGGTCTTGTCACTCCATGGTTTAATCCCCCAGCAGAAGGGCTGGGCAGGTGTTATCGGGCAGCAGGCAGGCTGCCCAGTGTTTGGATCTGTCTCCATGCTGTGACAATGCTCCTTTTGACTGTACTCTATAAAGCTGTGGTCATATATTTTATCCAAACATGGTTTTTGGGTTTTTTCTTCCACTCCATCACCCTCCTATCTTCCCTAGACCTGCAATGGACAATTAAGAATAAAGTTGCTTTAAATGCCCTGATTTTCCAAACAATCCCATCACAGCTTGCTAGTTCAAAGATTTCTGGAGCCCATATCTTACATGTGAGATGCCAACTTTGTGAGAGATTGCCTTCCGCTGCCACCAACACCCAAGAGAAGAGCATTGCCCAGTGCCTGGCGTAGAATACGAGTGATACGGCAAATATGCTCCATAGCATCCATGAAAAGCACTAGCTTCATCTTGGTGGTATTGATCTGATTGTACTCCTCCATATACTCTTCAATCACCTGTATGAGCTACAGCCAGAAAGAAAGAAAAGAAGAAAGCTACAAATCTGATTCCCAGGATGTTATCCAAGGAAAAGCCCCTCTACACATCCCAATAAACCCCGAGGGAAGGAGAGGTAGTGTAAAAAATAATGATTCAGGTGGGTAGCCATGTTGGTCTGAATCATCAGAACAAAGTTTGAGTCCAGTGGCTCCTCTAAGACCAACAAAGTTTTATTCAAGGTATAAATAAATCTTCGTTGGTCTTAAAGGTGCCACTGGACTCAAACTTTGTTCTGTAAAAAAGAATGTTCATGATGGAAAGAATGTCCACAGACCTTTGGTTTTGGATCTACTCCTTTGAGAAAAATTAAGGAGCAAACAGCCTGGTTTTAATCTGTCAACATAAATATTTAGGGGTGTACATTTGGATATACCCAAACTTAATACATACTAGAAAAATACCTTATTGATATTTTCAGGTATATTTCGGCATCCCAAAGATATATGGGTTTTTTTTGGAACACTGAAAAATAAATCCCAGATATATTTGGGATTTCTCGGGATGATCATGAGACAGCATTGCAGGCTCCTGGGGACTGGTTTTTTTTCTTTTTTCTTTCTGTGTTTTGAATTTTGGATGGACTTCCCTGCTGCTCTTGTCAGTTTCAAACTAGTCTTGTCAGTTTCAAGAGTCCTCCCCCTTTGCCAGCCTTCCTTTGTGTTCCCTTCCCATTTTCTTGCACAGAGCTTGTAAAATCCCTTCTCTCTTTGCTTGGATTTCTTGTGCCTCTATGCTTTGAGATTAATCCTTTTTAAGCTTTCAGTGCCACAGTGGCACCAGGTTCTGCTGGGCTTTCTGTACACTGAACTAGTTGTGCTGAGCTTGAAAAAATGTCCCCCCCCCCACCTTCAGTTTGTACTGCAAGGATTCTCTGGTTTGACACTAGTCCTCTTGCTTGCATTACCATAATGGCACTGGGTTCTGCTGGACATTCTGTAAACTGAATTGGTTGTACTGGGCTTCCAACCCCCACCCCGCTTGCTTGGATTTCTTGTGACTCTGCTTTTGAGATCAGTCCTTTAGGTTCTGTTAGGCATTCTGCACACTGTAACTGGTTGAGCTGGGCTTGCAACCCCTTCCCCTGCTTGGATTTCTTGTGACTGTGCTTTGAAATCAGACCTTTTAAGCTTGCAGTGTCACAGGGTCACTGTGACACTGGTTCTGCTGGGCATTCTGTAAACTGAACTGGTTGTGCTAGGCTTGAAAAAATGCCTCCCCTTCAGTTTGCACTGTGGGGATTCTCTGGTTTGACATTAGCCCTCTTTTGCTTGCATTGCAACAGTGTCACAGGCAATGCTCCCTCTAAGCTGTGGAGTCTTGTGAGTAAAAAATTCTACTTTGTGAGCTACTGGCATAAAAGTTGCGAGTGTCTTGGCCGCTTCATAAATTAGTTTGCTCTGGAGTCATCCTTCCTGAGCTAAGTAAAAAATATGTGAGCCAGAAGCTAAAAAACTGTGAGCGACCTCACACTAACTCAGCTTAGAGGGAACACTGGTCACAGGGTTCTGCTGACATTCTATACACGAAACTGGTTATGCTGGGCTTCCAACCCCCCCTTGCTTGGATTTCTTGTGACTCTGTGCTTTGAGATCACTCCTTTTAAGCTTGCATTGCCACAGTGGTACTGGTTCTTCAGGGCAGTGTGTACACTGCAACTGGCTGTGCTGTGCTTGAAACCCCCCCCCCTTCAGTTTCCAATGCAAAGGTTCTTTGGTTTGATTTTGGTTCTGTTTGGCTTGGCACATTGCCTTATGGTTCTGCTAGGATTGCCGAGCTCTGCAATGGTTCTGTTGAACTTGCTGTTTGTCAATGATTGCTACTTGCAGGCTTGGCTTTTTGCCCTGAAAGCAGCTTGCAGGTGTTCCCCTCCTTCATAGAAAATAATGGAGAACAGCTAAGGGCACTCTGTTCAAGGGCCCATTAAATTGGACCTTGTGGTCCAAGTGACTTGAAACTTAGGGGTTGATTTAAAAGACAGGCAGCAGCATCTCTGCTGCAATTTTGGTGCCTGTACCTCCAAAAACTTCCCTGGCCACCTGGAAACCTTTAAAAACAACTGTACCTTTCCCCACAGGGAATAATGGACCAAAAAAATAGTAAACACAGATCTGGGGGGGGGGGGGACCCAGAAGCAAAATACTGGTATGGAATTTGGAATGATTGAGAATACCAATATTTTTTTGGTTGAATATACTCGAACCCCCCCAAACCCCCGTTTTTTTGCACACCGCTATAAATGTTATACAAACAAAATCACCACCTTAATAGCTTTCACTGTGTAAATTTTAGCTGAGCCTTACAGAGCAATAAATTATATCAGGAAATCTGTTTGGCCACAGTATCGCATTATGGATTTGGTTAAATCATTTAATCTTTCAACCACAATTTATCTATCAGAGCAATGGGTCTGACAAACATCTGCCTAAAAGTTGGGTTAATTAATGGTTGTAATTCACTTAGTGATTTCGAAACAGACAGCCTGCTGTTATCGTTATTATCCTTGACTATGTGGCAGTGAATACAAAGTGCACTCCTCCTTATTAAAATCTTTATATTTTTACCCTTTGCTTAATTAACATTTCCTCAGTATGCACAGTATCTTACCAGTTGGGAGTTGTGGAAGAAGGGTAATTACTTGCAAAGGTCAGCTGTAAAGATTTTAATGGCATCCACTGCAGCACTACAAACATAAAACTAGTTTCCTTTTCTAGTTTATTGCATTTTCCATATCTAAGTGTTATGCTCAAGACAGAGGCTTGCATAGCAGATTCCCAACTGTTCTTTATGACTTGCCTGAAACACCAAAGGAAGCAGGGGGCATTCACAGAAAGCATCATCATCTGAATCTGCCCTGTCTTCTTCCATACAGGTCCATTTATCATTCCCAGCATGATTCTAGAGCTCAGTCTATTCTTCACCTTTCTGCACTGGAAATGTTAACTGCATCTAATGTAGGCATGGAATGTTAACCCCATGTAGTAAAGATAGTCTGGAAACTCACTGCAGGAAACCCTTTCCTTTTAATACCTGGACCGACGTTAAGATGAAAAACAAGGATAATTAAGGACAACAGGGTCACAAAAATGAAGACATGACGTACCTTTTCTTTGTTTTCAATCAGTTCATATAACTTCACATCAGCACCTGGCATCATAAAATCCCCATAAAGAAGAGGCTGGAAAGGAACAACTTCATCAAAGGTGATTTCCCATTCCAGCATCATGGTCTTCATCAAATCATCAAACCAAGTTCGGTCCTCCTCATTAACCAAGCGGTCACGGAAAACACGGCACGTCTCATGATACCACAGTCTCAGCAGGAGCAGTTTATCCTGGCAAAGAGATCCAGTGGTAGCCTTAAACATTATTGGTAGCCAAATGAACCTAAATAATATGGCTATCTACCATTTCTGGAGGTAAGAAAAAATGGGATTCCACATCTTTCCCCCTAAATCCTCATCATTTAAAACTAAAACCAGAGCTCGGTACAGGAGTTTAATTAACACAGAAACAGAAATACAAACTACAGTGTTGTCCCCCCTCCCCAAATGTTGTAATTCAAATGTTACCTCTTGTTCTGCTAAGTGAAAGGTGCATCCTCACTATATTTCTACATGTGCAAGGCATAACACAAAATATTTCTTCAAATACAATTCCAAATACAAATTAAACAAAGTGATGTGATCCATCTGTCATATGTTCCATTGATCCAGATGCACACTGTTATTACTATGTGTTGCACGGACTCTTGCTCTATATCTTTCACATGCAGAACTACATAAAGTACATTTTTCTTTCCACTCATGCATCACTGGATCCAGGCCACTGATTCTTCCTCCTTGGATACTGTCTTAACCCTGATACTGTAGGAACTTCCTTTTCCAAATCCATTCTCATATATTTGGAAATAACGTTTATAAAACACAAACCAGTTACTAAAAAGGGGGGGGGGATTAAGAAGTAGAATTTTGTGGCTGTATTCAGAAAAGTGATTCCATCGATAGTGCCACTAAAGGCAGGAAAAACTACCCACATATGCTACCCTGGAGACGTGGAGAATTCAGCTGCAATCCATAGGTAAAAACTGAAGACTTGTTGCTTGTATGGCATGCATCATATGAAAAGGAAGGATAACTACTTAGAGAGTTCTATGCAATTTCTATTTATTTTGACCCTGAACTGGCAAAGAAATGTCACCTGCAATCCCTAATCTATAGCAGATGCTGTAACGGGAGCCCTTACCATGATTTTGGCAGGTTCTGCCACAAGCATTCCCTGGAAAACTTTTGAGAGATCCCTCAGATTAAACGTATAATGAGACTTTGCTGGAGTGGGCAACAATTGAGATGTAACGGTTGAATATACTCGTATAGTAGCATCAACAAGTGGTTCATTCAGGTGCTCCACAGCAAGACATCCAGCTTAAGAAAACAGCAAAAAGAGGCTGATCAGCATTGTAGTGATAACTTTTCAGCGAAGACAGATCACATCGTAATGGGCAGGGTGGCTCAAGACATAATATTGTTGTCAATATGGATTTATCAGTAACTTAGTCTTACTTAAGATTCTAGACTTGCTGAATCTGTGGTTGTAATACGATTCTGGCTGCTGTGTACTTTGTTTTTACTTTATCAGTAACCCTAAATATATGAATTCTAAATCAAGAACTTTAACAACTGGCATATGCTGAACAGCAAATATTCTAGGATAGGTGAAAATCTTGGAAAATCCTTAAACTGAATCTTTAATGACCAAATTAAAAGGTTTTAAGGTTAATAAACAGAAGGCTAAGATGTTAACAAAAATAAATTTGATAAATAAAACAGGTTTTCAAATTGAAAATAAGATAAAATATTTGGGTATTACCTTGACAAATATGAATTGTATGTTATTTCAAAATAACTATGTTAAAACTTGGAGTGAAATTTAAAAAGATGTGTTGAGATGGGACAATGTTCAACTGTCACTTTTGGGGAGAATATCTGTGATTAAAATGAATGTTTTACCTATAATGTTATTTTTGTTTCACACAATTCCAGTTTTGATAACGGATGTACCATTTAAACAATTGCAAAAAGGTATATCCAGATTTATATGGCAATGGAAAAAAACCATATGTTAAATATAATATTTTACAAGATGCAAATGGAAGACGAGGATTGGGTCTACCTGATTTGAAATTGTATTTTGCTGCTTGTTGTTTAGTGTGGGTGAAGGAATGGATCTTGCTAAAAAATAAAAGATTATTAGAGTTAGAAGGACATGACTTGAGATTTGGATGGAATGACACTTGTGGTAAGATAAAGGTAAAGTTAATGCAGAATTTAATAATCATTATGTTAGACATGCCATTTTGAGAATATGGAATAAATATAAATCTAGAATTTGTCAAAAAATACCCCTATGATTATCACCACAAGAAGCTCATTTCAGAAGAGAAATGAAAGGTTTGAATAAATGGTTAACATATCAGGATACACTGGAATTAATCAAGAGAAAATTTGACAACAGAAGGATATAGCTGTCAATGGTTTTCGTATTTACAAATCTTAGAAAGATTTAAAGTAGATAAAAGATATTATGATTTTGAATAATCGAAGTCTGAATTCGAAACAGAACTATGTACAAATGACAAACATGTGATTGGTAAAATGTATAAACTCTTGTTGAAATTTGAGACAGAGGAAGAACAGGTGAAAGTATATATTTATTTATTAGATTTCTTCCCCGCCCTTCCCGCCATAGCAGGCTCAGAGCAGCTTACACAAACACTACGCAGCTAAAACAGAACTAAGTAAAATCATGACAAAATAAATATAAAACATTCCAAAGTGCTAGTGCTAAAAACAGTTCATATGCAGTGGCAGGCATGAACAGCATCCAGCAAGCAGTCAGTCAGTTCCCATCATTATCTGGATCAATGTTCCCTCTAAGCTATGGAGTCTTGTGAGCAAAAATTCTGCTTTGTGAGCTACTGGCATTAAAGTTGTGAGCGAGCAATTTGGGTACTGCATAAATTAGTTTGTTCTGGAGCCATCCTTCCTGAGCTAAGACAAAAATGTGTGAGCTGGAGGCTAAAAAAATGTGAGCTAACTCACACTAACTCAGCTTAGAGGGAACATTGGTCTGGGTTATAACAGCTGTTGATGTTGATATAGATGTTAATATTGGGGCCAGGGCCTTGGTTGTGTAATGCGGCTCCCTAGTCGAAGGCCTGGTGGAAGAGCTCCGTCTTGCAGGCCCTGTGGAACTGTAAAAGTTCCTGTAGGGCCCTGATGTCTTCCAGGAGCTCATTCCACCAGTGTGGAGCCGCCACTGAAAAGGCCCTGGCCCTCATCACAGCCAGCCTGGCTTCGCTAGGGCCTGGCAGGGCCATACGGTTTTGGGACCCTGTTCGTAAAGCTCTCTGGGGAACATGTGGGGAAAGGCGGTCCGTTGTATGATAGAATGGGCCAAAATGGGCCAAAGTATAATAAAATGGGCCAAATTTTTTGGATATGACATACAAATGGAACAATGGGAAAATCTATTGTTAAAAGGGATGAAATTTATATTGAGTTGTAGTATTAAAGATAATTTTTATAAGATGATTTCGGTATATGTCTCCGGAGAAACTGGATAAAATGTATAAAGGTACTTCTAGTTTATGCTGGAAACGTGAACAACATGAAGGAACATTTTAGCATATCCAGTAGACATGCAAGAAAGCATTTATTCTTTTCTTAGAGTCTTTTTCTTTAGAGTCTTTTCTTTTGGGACTAATAAGCAAACAGCTCGAAAGAAGGCATGTAACTTTGTTTTTATATATGACAACAGAAGCGAGACTACTTTTTGCACAGAAAAGGACGAGTCCAACATTGCCTACAATAAACGAATGTTTAGCGAAGATGCTGGAACACACAACGATGGCTTAGCTTACTTCATTGATCAGAGAAAAGACAATTAGCTCATTTATTTATTTTTATTTATTCAGACTTTAAATGTATGGATCACCCAATCCCTGAATACACAGAGCTCTGGGCAATGTACAACAGAAGTTAAAAACAGCAAACATAACATTATTAAAATTAATAAATAAGTCATTCCTTACATTCTTAAAATAATCTCCAGATTGTGCCACTATTTTGATCTTAAAACCATTCTAGACTGTGTTGCTGCCTCGCGGGCAAGGTAAGGAGGAGGCCGAAATGAAAAAAGATGTAAGAAAAGTGGAGGGTGCCAGCCACGATGGAAACCGTTGCTGTCCTCAAACAAAAGCCTGGCACAACACCTTACAGGCCCTGAGGGATTGCATTAAGTTCTGCAGGGCTCTGGTGGTGTTTGGCCGAAAAAGTCCTTGCTCTGGTCAAGGACAGCCAGATATCTTTGGAGCCAGAGATTACCAGTAGATTGTTCTCAGCAGAGCATAATGCTATCCTGGGGACATACCAGAGGAGGCAGTCCCAAAGATATGCAGGTCCCAGACTGCTCAAGGCCTTTAAGGTCAACATCAAAACCTTAAACCTGACTCGGTACTCCACTGGGAGCTGATGTAGCTGGTGCAGCACAGGTTGTATATGTGCAGTCCTTGGTGTTCCTGTTAGGACTCGCACCACTGCATTCTGGATCAGTTGGAGCTTCCAGTCTCAAGGGCAGGCCAGTGTAGAGTGAGTTACAGTAGTCTAGCCTGGAGGTGACCATTGCATGGATCACTGTGGCTAGGTCAGAGCACAACAAGAAAGGGGCTAACTGGAGCTCCTAGCATAGGTGAAGGAACGACAGCCTGGCAATATTCGTGATCTGGGCCTCCATAGTTAAGGAGGCCTTCAGGACAATGCCTTCCAAAACCCTGATGGATTGTGCTGGTATTAATGGTGCCCCATCAAGAGTGGGAAGTCTATGTCCCAACCCTGAAGCTCCCCCCCCAGCCACAGAATGCCCATCTTCATTTGATTCAGTGTCAGCCTACTCTTTTTTAACCATCCCACTACGGCCTCCAAACCTGTGGCCTTGACTACTGAGTTTACTTAGGAGTCTTTGATGAGGAACTTTATCAAAAGCTTTTGGGAAGTCTAGGTAAACAACATCTGTTGGGTCACTCTTGTTGACATGTTTGTTCATCCCCTCAAAGAGACAAGATCTTCCATTACAGAATCCATGCTGATTCTTCCTCAATAGATTTTGTTCATCAATGTGCCTATTGATTCTGTCTTTAATAATGGACTCCACCAACTTAACTGATATTGACATTAGACTGACCAGCCTGTAATTTCCCAGATCTCTTCTGGAACCTTTTTTAAAGATGGGGGTTACACTAACTACCTTCCAGTCCTCAGGAATGGAGGCAGATTTTAATGAAAGATTGCGTATTTTTATCAGGAGATCCACGAGTTCATATTTGAGTTCTTTCTGAACTCTTGAATGTATGCCATCTGGGCCTGGGTTTTAGCCACTGTGGGACACAGGGTGTTGGACTGGATGGGCCATTGGCCTGATCCAACATGGCGTCTCTTATGTTCTTATATTACAAATGCCTGGTTTTTCCTACTATATCATTCAAATAATTATTACCTTTTAACAAACATTAATTCCATAATCCAGATAAGTAGCAAATAGCAGTGTCTAGTGGCATCTTAAAGACTGAAGAATTTATTGTGGCATAAGCTTTTGCGAGCCAGAGCCCTCTTTCAGACATTACACAAAGTGGATTCTGCCTCTCAGAACCTACTGCCACTATGTTAGTCTTTAAAGTGGCAGAAGACTGCTTGTTATTAGATCATATATCAGGCCACACAATTATGGTTGCTAAACACTGAGAAAAGTATGTGATTTTTCAACCCCTCTCAAGTGTCACTAAAGAATGGCAGCTCTAAGTATTTCATTTATTGTGAGAAAATGACAAAGTGACAATATTAATTTTACATTAATTAATCTAGTAAACTAGTTAGGCAAAGTGTGAGTTGTGATCATTTAGCTGACAAAAATGCCTGAGGGAATTTTAACTAGAAAGGTAAATGGGCTGTCAACTACTGAGGAGTATCACTTAAAGGTAATCCCTGACTTCAATGGAAATACATTTTAGCCTATTGAGAAATAAAACTTAGCCTAAAAAGAAGGTTCCAGAAGAAGTTATTTGAATAATTAGCTTTAGACAGATAAAAATAATGTTCTTTATTATCGGAAAGAGGGAACCCTTTTTGATCCTACTTAAACCACTGTTAAGCCAATGGGTTGTACAGTTTTTGTAATTATATGCCATTGACACAATTTCATTAGGGCAGTTCCACACTTTATAGGGCAAATGTATTTCTTTGATGCATATTGGCAATACACTATTTTTTCCACAGCACACCTCAAGTGAGGATGACAGACAGACAGATAGATAGGGCTTTTTTTCTGGTGGAAAGCGCCAGAATGGAGTTCTGGAACCTCTTCAACAAAATTCTTTTAAAAATGTTTAAAGTTCATGAGTTTTCAGTATACAGATTGAAAACTTCATTTTCCTCTTGAGAGTTCTGGCACCTCTTTTGTTTTTTTTTAAAGCCCAGTATGGGTGTGCGCGCGCGCGCATAGACAATGGCCCCATTAGGATTTCCCAGGTGAGTGAATATGATGTTTAAACATGTATGTATACACATGCATAGTGTCCACATTGCACACATTTCCTGCATGAAATATCAATGTGACACTTATTTATTTATTAGTTATATTTATATCCTGCCCTCCCTGCAGACGGGCTCAGGGCGGTTCACATTTGCTGGCGTAATATAGCCGGTTAGCATTGGCACATGCACAGCCAAAGTAAAGTGTGGAGTTGCAATAGGTACGCCAAACTTGGCATTCATGTAACTTTATCCTTCATTATATCATGACTTTGAAAATGACAAAGTAGTGGCATGTGATACTGAGACAAAGACCTTTTTTCTGCAGTATTCTGTCCAAATGTTATAGCACCTTCACACAAATTACCCTTACTTCGATCCATGCTTTACATAGACAATTAACATGTGCTAAAGTTTCTTTACTTACGAACTGGATCTCTGTAACTCGTTTCTCCTAGTTTACCAGCTACGAAAAAACCAAAAATACAAAGATGTTGGCAAAGCATTGGTTTATTTATCAGTTAAAACACACACACAGGAAATTGAGATTTCCCTTCCAATGGGATAAACATGGGGGCAGATCTCTCTCTCTCTTACTTTAAGGATCAAATGCTTGATTGGTACCACAGGTCAGTCCTAGTGCAACTGTAGTATTATATTTAGAAGAGAAACTGGACCTCATATCTGAATGTAGTATGACGACTAGGGGTGTGCAAAAAAAATCAGTTTTTATCCGATTTGGGTTTATTGGACCTGGAAAATATCAGTATTCCTGAATACCAGTATCAGTATTGTACTGGTATTTGGGTACATATTTGGGAAACCATCCCCATAGGGTACAATGGAGAATTCCACTCGCCAAGTTGTGCCACAGTGGCAGCACAACCGTGGTCTCTTTAAATGCCTTCTAGCCACTTTTATTTTTTTAATATCAGCTTTTATTCAGGCATGGCTATTTCAGTAGCCAAATCAGATTGTCCAATCTGTATGTGGCTGAATAAATACCTGAAAAATACCGAAATACTGACTGCACACCCCTAACGATTACCTAATTCAAAATGCTTTGGATCTTAGTATGCCAAGCTAAACAGCTAATTTCTTGTTACAGATATGACTCAGGATAGCTTATTGCCTCAATATAATTCTTTTTGAATTTACTCTGTTAACTGAGTAGGATTTGGCCCAAATCAAGTAAAGTAATAATGACACAACAAAAAGACTCTGACAATCTTACATCTTACCCATCCAGCTGCCTAGAATGGTGGAGAAGATTTTCTTCTTGCTGCTGTCCTCCATCTCGGTGAATGAAAGATAGTTGAAATGCCGTGTTAGACGTGGGGTGATGGCATTTCGTCCTCCACCAGGTGGTCCCATGGCACAGACAAAATTAATATCCACCAATTTTTTAAAGGTACCTGAGAAAACATTACAGAGAAGAATGATGGAATGTATCGATACCACATCATGAAAGAAAATCGGTAATGTAAAGAAGTTACGCAAAGAACTTATATCATACCAATTTGTTTCCTGTCATACCAGCCATGGTGATCCATCCATTGCCGAAGAAGCTCAATGGGTGGCTGGGCACCATAGGTCTCTAGTGCTGGCATGTTCAAGTCATCTATGAAAAATATGAAGTACCTGCCAAGTGGAGGGCCAAAGACTCCCTTACGCCTGTAGACAGCAAGACAAGTTTAAAATGTCTGGGTAGAACACATGGTGAAAATACTTCCTTCTTGATACTTAAGCACAATCTAAAAGCCCTACTGCATAAATGTGCAAGGAGCCATGAACCTTAGTAAAGTTCTGTAGCTCTCCTGTTCACTCCTTTATAAAGCAGAGAAACATGCTGTGGGAGCCTTGGGTATATTACCCAAGTGTTCCAAGGAGCAAACTCTGTCTCCAGAAATACCAATGTCCTGTGGCTGTGATACTTATAAACAAAATTTTGCCTGATAAACCTTTCCCTGAATCTATGTGAAATTCACTGGCATTAATGGACAATGCTTTTATATCTCTCAGGAAGAGTATGATGTTCAGTGCTGCAGTATTACCTGCAAGAAATTCAACAGAGTTAACAATACACTTACAAAAATATTTCACCTGTTTGATGGTAATTGCAAATGTGGCTCTCCAGAAGCTGTAGTGAATACTACTGGGTTAGAGTGCTGGACTAGGGCTGGGAAGACCCAGGTTCAAATTCTAGCTCAACCACTAAATTCATTGTGTGACCTGTCACTCTCAGACTAATCTACCACGCAGCACTGTTGTGAGGATAAACAAGGCAGGGGAGGGGGAGATCATGTAAGCCATCCTGAGCACTTTGATGCGAGTGTGGGATAAAAATCTAACAAATCAATGAAACTAATTATTCCATGTCCTGTCATAATCTGCAGGATTGTCCAAAAATGCCTGTTTTATGTTTCCCACCCATGCAATGAGATACAAATGCAAGAGCATGTAGAGAGGCATTCCTTATGGCTGTCCCTAAGCTACAGAATTTCCTTCTTCTGGATACTCCCCAAGGCCCAGCACCTGAAGATCTTCCAGAACACTTCTTAATTTAGGCTAGATTTTGGGAGTCCTGAACAAGTAAAAAAGTGAGATAGTGAAATGTGAACAGTCAGTAGGCTTTCAAATTTGATTTCAACTGGTTGCTTTACACATATGTTTCAATATGTGTTTAACTACCCTAAGCCTTTGACGGGAGAGGGTACTAATCCAATCTTATCAAACATTAAAATATAAGGGAAGGGTAAAAAACCTTAGCTATTTCTTAATCTTTTGAGCTTTATTTTAAGTTGTTAACCTTGTTATACGTCAAAAAAGTATAAATTTGGACAGGTGACTCATAAATGCTAAAAATTATAAAATGAATATGAACAAGGTCAACGTTATCAAGAGTAGAAAAATCCCCAAAGAGTTTTGCCTTTTATCCAGCTTGCTGTCAATGAGGTCTTGAGTTTGGTTGGCTGAGGTTCGAGCAGAAAACACTAGAAAGTGGCTGATAAATTCTAGCGGCAAGTTCTTCAGCAGCTTATCTTCAATAGTGAGTGTCTTCCCAGTACCAGTGGGACCAACGCAAAGAACCTATAAGTGTAAAAGAAAGCTGTCACCACAGGGAGGATTTGCAGTATAACCTCATGTTCATATTTCCAACTGCTCACCCACTATGCTTTTTGACAGTTCACTAGAACTGTACCAACTGGACTCTACCAACTGAGACACTGAGATATCTTTGTTAATTAGCATGATAAAGCTAAAAACATCTTTCAAGTAGAAAAAGTGAACCAAAAATGAATTCTGATGTAGTCATGTTTGCCTTTTGTAAGAAAAATAAAGCAGTCTGGGGACATTGTAACTATATTTTCTAGCATAAGCTACCAGGACTAAAGCCCACTTCATCAGATGCCTGGGATCACATGAAGCTGAGTCAGACCATTGATATATTGAAGTCAGTATTGTCTAGTCTGACAACAGCTCTCTAGAGGCTCAGATCACAGTCACCTATTAACACTTTTAGCTGGGGACAATGGGGGTTGAAGCAGGGACTTTTTGCAGGCAAATCAGATGGCTTCTCATGGACTCACAGCCCCTCTCCATGTATGTCCTGGTCCTCACTAGGTAAATATATATATATATATATATATATATGAATAAGGTTATGGGGGGAAATGTAAACCGCAGGGTTCCCAAACACACTGAGGCAATTGTATTATCATAACCCCAACTACATCTTCTTGGGGTCATCCTCTTTGTCATTCTCCAGTGTGATATATGCCACCATGTGTCAAGCAATGCCCTTCTGTACTCTATATATGAACAACAGGTCAGTCACTATTCAAAAGAACAAATGGGCACAAATCTGATATTAACAATGGCGCTGTTCAGAAATCAGTGGGAGAACACTGCCAGCTCTTAGGACATTATACTGCTGACTTAAAGACACCATTATCCAGCAATAGTTCTTCAAAGGGAGACTCCAGAGTGAAACTGCTGAATTAGAATGATCAGGGAGTCTGACACCATGTCCCAGGCACTTACAAAGAAAAGGCCTGGGTGTTTCCTCAGCCATTACAGGTTAAACAGTTCAGTAAAACTACATTAACGTGTTTTATGTTATTGTTTTAAATATTTTATACATTTGCATTTTAAACACTGTTTTACGTTTGCTGCCTTGGGGACTCTGATTAGGGCTGAAAGCAGCATAAAAATGTTTTCAATAAATAAACTAAAACTAGAGAAATTACATTGTCATAAATTACTGCTACTGTGAAAAGCCTATGTAGTTTCTTGTTATGTCTGCATTTTATGGCCTATTGACCCTGCTGTTTGCAACTTTTTGTGTGTGTGTGTGTGAGAGAGAGAGAGAGAGAACAAACAAACAAACAAACACAGTACACACATTTGACAGCAGGGCTCTTGTCCGCAAAAGTTTATGCTAAAAACAAACATTAGTCTTCAAGGTGCCACTAGACTCCTGTTTATTTTTACCAAGAAAAGCAGAGGCAGATACAGGAAATTTCTACTCTTGATACTTGAGTAAAGTACTGATGATGGCTTGATTAAGCAGCAGACATTTTGCATTGCTACAAGACTTGCCCCACTTGAGATTCAGGACACGTACTGGCTTATGGTTAGTGAGTAACATTTCCAACAGGTATGCCATCTGGATAGTGTTCATTGTGGGGACGATAATGTCACAAAAGCTGGTGTCAGGCACCAAGGTAAATTCCACAGAGGAGTCCATCCAGCTCACCCATCCCACCTAAGAGACAGAGAGATATTGATGGGACTGACAGATAAAAGCTCTTTTAGAGCAATAAGCACAGAATTTTATACAACTTACAATTTGTAACCTAAAAGTACAGAAGGTCTGCAAAGAACCTGAAGCCTACAATCTTCTGAACAAGTTACAGTGGTATCATTCCGCTGAAGTCAACTGTACTCCTATCCTCAATCAAAATTTAGTTGTAACTAAGCATCACTGAAATTAATAGAACAAGATAGAAATGACCTGTTATTTTATCTGGAACACAACCATGGGTCTTCAGATGGAATCAGGAATTTATGCCTTGTCTGTTTCTCTCCTGTCACTATAACAAGATCCAGAGTAGGACTAGCTGTTTAATTTATACTGAAAGTTTCTGGCCGGCCAGTGTCCTAGAGGGCCACCAGCAGACAGGAGCAAGCAGATTTAAGACTCTGTAGACTCTGCCAGTGCTGCAAGGACCACTCAGTTCAGACCTGACCAGCAGTACCCAAGATGGGTATCGGTTCACTTGCTGCCTCCTCCTGCACTGTTGTCATCTGGGAGTGATGCAGGAGGAGGCAATGGCACCCATTGTGGGTGCAGCTGGCCAGGTCTGAGCAGCACTCACCCACAGTATTCACCGCAAGGACCATTCCACCAGGTTTGCCTCTGGGCCATTGTACCTTCTCAGTCCGCCCCAACAGAATCAACTTTGTGAGTATATGATGACCCACTTGTTGATTTTTTTACATGTTCTATGCTTTTCCTTTTCTAGGACTTCCTCAGAGTATTGCCAGCCAGACCACCTGTTTTTGTTTGGTGTGCTATCCTTGGGGAAGCCCATATAAAACCTTTCCACATTTTTGTATAGTTGATTATTTCTTAAGGGACATCTAAATATCTTTTCTCCAAGGTAGTGTTTCTAGAGCACAAAAGTCAAAACAGCAATGTTTTATTACCCACCCCATTTGTAATACTTGTCCAGATTAATTTTTTTACTCTTAGTATTTGTATAGCACTTGTCCTTTGTGCTCAAAGTGCTTCATATACATTATCACAGTGATTATTACAATAACTGTGTACAGTTGATATTATAATCTCCACATTAAAGACTGGGAGACACTAGTTTGCCTAAGGTTATCCTCTTACCACAATGCAATTGGCTCTTTCCAAAGAGTTCTGAACTGGGTTCCTCCCCATTCATAATTCTTGCTCAGCCATTTTATTATATTATACGAGCTCATATAATCTTGAAAAAAACCAAGGCAAATATGAGCTCAGCTATACTCTTTCTCTCGCAGAAAAGCTCTAATACTTTGTAACTCTTTTCCCTACAAAATTCCCTAAGAAATTATTTAGCATTTTGAAGGCTGAGCACCTTGGATCCACCACAGTATTTCCATGTACAGAAGGACTCTTCCTGTAGTGAGCTAATTTCTCACTTCCCCGCTTCCACAGGGGGGCATTTTGGGTTTCAGGGAGTGGGAAGGTAAGAAACATGTGCTCCATGGGTGGAAATCCTGGTCAGACAGAGATGTTTGTGTGGTATGCTGTTTTAAGTTCTTTAGTTATTTTGTTTGTTTTGTGCAAACCCCCCCCCCCATTTCTAATGATAGGCAGAAATATTAAGCACTTGGAATCCGGTCCAAGTCCAGAGCAAAGAGACCGAAAATCTCCTTTACCTCATTAACAACATCTTCATCCTCCTCTTCCTCAATATTGCTAATACCAGCATCATCCAGTTGATAGTCATAGACTAACCCCTCATCTGGGAAGAGTAAACCAATCTGTGGGAAGGAAAAGCAGACTGTGAGTACCACAGTTCTCCTGAACAGTTTTTCCAAGGCTAACACAAAGAATATGTAATATGGACATGAAATGGGAGTGATGGGGTTCCATCTGGTTTATGTTCCCCAAATCTCCCGGAATAACAGTTTTTAGTGCAGTCACACATGTTCTAGAAATGCAGCAGCCATATTACTGCTATTGGGAAGAGATGCAATCCCATTTCCATCTGCTCACCTCTTTGGCTGACATGGTTGCCTTTAACCAAGTGCTGAAGACTACTCGGCTTTGGGCATCCCCAGTTGCACCCACACTCCAAATCAAGGCAAATATGAACCAAGGTTCAATAAGCTCACCGATACGGGCTATCTTCTCTGGGGGCATTCTTTTCATTCCCTGAAAATTCATTTTAAAGTTTTTCTAAAACCAGTAATGTCTTCATTAATGACAACAGAGAGAACACAAAATCAAAGTTTGTAAGCAGCTTAATTCTATCTCTTTGTTATTTCAGTATCTCTTTAACAATAAATGCTAAATTTATCTCAGTGTTTTGGAATTTCTGTTGTGCTCAGGTGAATTAACTCCCCACGGGATAAAGCATAATCCTCTTGTACTGGTTAGGGTGTCAGGCTAGGATCTAAAAGACCCAGATTCAAATCCCTACTCTGTCACAAAGATTGTGTATGACAGTTACTCTAACCTAACTCACAGGGTTATTATAAAAATAAAATGTAGGAGGGGAGAATGGTGTACACTGTACCAAGCTCTTTGGAAGAAAGTCAGCATAAAAATATATGAAATAAATAAATATATTTTATACACAGAATCATAGTTCTGTAGCTACTAAGTAAAAAGGATGAATCCTAGTGTATGTAGCTACTAAGTAAAGAGGATGAATCCTAGTGTAATTGCCCACAATTTCACTTGAATTGCCTGTAAGGCAGTGAATTTTCTGTCACATTTATCTGTTCTACTGGGATGACTGCCCAATTCAGTTCACCTCTCCAGGTTCTTGAACATCAACATCTACAAAAGTCATACCTCAACAGGAATGAAGGGTTGAAAGAAACAGTCCAATAATTTGAGGAGACTCATTGTTAAGTTAAAGTCTGTGGAGGCAATTGTCTCTTTCACTGATTTCCGCACAAATATGATGGATTCCTGTATGGATTGGGAAGATACAACACAGATCCAGAGTTAACTTTCCAGATTTATTTGTAGCCTTGGTGTTGTCTTCCCCTTTCCTCACAACAACTAACACTGGACTTAGCTGCTGGAATCCCTGGCATGTCAAGGAATGATCTGAACACTCTTCACTGCAACCAAAGAATGTACATCATTGTAGAAAGAGAAACACAGCCATTGACAGAATTGCTCAATGAACCTGTTCCTGCCTTTTTTTATCAATGGTCTTCAATCTTTCCAGAACCAGGGCCCACTTTTAATACCCAGGTAGAAGTATGGGTCCCTCTGAAATGCAAGTCAGGCTGAAAGGTCCCTGAACTGCTCCAGGCTGATACTGTAGGGGCTACCCATCACAGACTTGGTGGTCGGCACCCACAACAAGTGTTGGTATATCCATTACATCTTCCTGCACTGCTGCCAAAGGGTGAACTGATACCCATCTTAGGCACCACTGGCCAGCACTGAACTAAATAGTCCCTGCAGCACTGATTGGGCCATTGGGGAATACATCTGCTTGCTCCTGTGTTTCAGTGGCTCTGTAGGTTAAATGGCCAGTCTACCTTGGCTAGCAAGTCATTCCACAAAGTAACAAAAGAAACTGGCTACCCTATTGGAGCTTACAAGACAGCTGGTCAGACTTCATAACTACTTTCTTAGATAGTCCCCTCTCTGTTAACACAATAAACAGTGATGCAGGTGGTTGTTTTCAGACAGAACCTGCTAGCTTCTGTGTATTCAAGCATTATAATGACTGTCAAAGGGTATTCTTGATATAGACAAGGCTCAGTATCATGCTGCAGAGCAGTAAAGACTAACTACTTTCATGGGAGCTTGAAATCAATACTGAGTCTCTCTCCTATAATTTATATTGTTAATGCATTAGATAGAGACATACATGGAAGAGAAAGTCAATGACAGGTATTTATAATGCAACTGAGCATTCTGGCCACAAGCAGGTATTATAGTTTTATCTGTGAAAATACCTATATAAATTTACCTCCATAGATATACAGTTGTCAAAATGTCATAGCATTTTGTACAGGAATACTCTTATTACTTCTGGAAGCAAAAGACACAGGGCTCAAGAACTTTCCTGCTG